TCTGCTGTTAAAGAGGTTGGCTTTGGGAATTTGGTAGATTGTTTAACTCAGTAATTTCCACAGTAACTGCCACTTAAAGTATGTGGGGACAAATTTCAAAACAAACACATTACAGATTCTGCTCCCACTCCCAGTCTACTAAATCAGGGACTTGGTGGAGCGTGGGTATTTTGTAAAAAGCACCTTTTATGATTCTGGTCATCATTTGTACTCTAGGGGAGAGTAAAGTTTTGATTTGGTAGCAGTGTTAGCTTAACTTCTACTTAGCCCCTGCTGTACTCTGAGTAACTGAAAGGTTCTTGAAAGGCACATGGTTTGCAACAAGAACAGCTGCTGCTCTTGCAAGAGCATTCTGATAGTCTGGTTAAATCTCCTTTTTCATGACAGGAAGGGGCCCCATGTTGAAGAAGCCTTGACTCTTTCCCTGTCCTTTGTCTCCTCACTTGTGTGTTGTCCCTTTTCAGTGCCATTTTATGAGAGTAGGTACCAAGAATGCACAGTAAAGTAACCCACATTAAATAAGTAACATTAAAAAGGAAGGGAGCCGGGTGGTTGAATGCACCTAAGTGAAAAGTGGGAAGGAAATCAACCTCTTTTTCTCTCCCTTTCTTCATTTTGTATGTATGTGGTGATGAAATGGGATTATTTGAGGATAAACAAAACTGGAGCTATCTCACGGTAGAAGTGGGAGCCACAGCAGCTGCCCACGCACATGCTGACTTTCTCCGGAGAGCCCTGGGCCTCACAGCCCCAGTCGCTGTTCTTCACTCCCAGCCAGGCTCATCCTAATGCTCTCAGTGTGCTCTGCATGCCGCTTCCCTCTGATCTCCTCTACACCCTCTTGCTCCAAGCACCCCAGCTTCCTCCTTATTTCCCAAAGCCTTGTTCTAGGTCCTCTTCCTTCTTTGTTCTCTAAGGTTCTTTCCAAGCAGGTGGATACCCCCACATTGAAAAGTAGATTTTTTCCAAGCTGTAAACTCTACCAATAATAGTGTCCCCCCTCTTTTTGGGGGGAAGTGGGACTGGAAATTGAACTCAGGACCTTGTGCTTGCCAGGCAGGCGCTTATGACACTGAGCTATATCCCTGGTCTGTAGTGTTCACTTAAAACTATAAAAGAAGAAAAATGTCTTACTGTGCTTGGTTAAGTTTGTTTTTCTTTCCTCATAACATATTGACTAGGTGAGACATAGAGAAAAGTATCCCTGTGTATTGAGCCTGAAGGTACATACTATTCTGCCTCCTGTGAAATAGCTCTCCAACCTGAAGATGGGTCTGAAGAGAAGTGTTTTGAGGGGGAAGGCACGTTTAACTGAGTTTTAAAAATAAACATGCCATCCCTTTATTGCCGACTCAGCTTCTCCGTTATTTGTATTTTGTAACCAGAAAAGCTATGCTGCTACAGATGGGGCTAGGTTAGATCATCGAGGCGGAGATGGTCCATTCATTTGCTCGTTCCTGTGTCCTCAGTGTCTAGGACAGTGTTTGCCACAGAGTGGGTGCTCAGTAAAAACTTACTGAGTAATGAAAAATGAACAAACTGCTGAGTAGAAGGGAAGCAGTATACACAAGAGTAACATTCTTTTATAGCCATCTGACTTGGTTTCCTTAGGAAGCCAGTAGTTTTCTCCTATAACTAGAGGAACTTACAAAATTTCAGGGATCCTGACTATTTAAGGTAACAGAAGGGGGAATGGTGTGGTGCAAGTGGACCGTTCACTTTAGAGGGAAGTCACAGGCTGGAAGCTGGCAGTCAGGGATCATTTAGTGTAAGGAAAGTTGACCCTGAAGTGCTTACTGTTACTGCTCAGGAAGGGACAGGGACTGAAAGCCATCACCTAGAGCGATGGCAAGGAAGCGTGGGGGCCACCTGAGCCATCGAGTCCACAATGCCCCTCAAGAATGCTGCCCAGTGTGGTGCAGTATGAGGACCTGTGTGCATGACAGAAGGTAACACTTGCTTCATTTTAGTAAAATAAATGTGTATTTCTAAAAAATACCATTTCCATTAAAAATGGCTAAAATTTAAACATTTTGGTACATTAACAATTTCATCGTTTTACTCAAAATGTGTCATTCCTTGAAAGTTTGAGATAAGTGTTAGTGACTACATCCATAAAGAAGTTGGTCGTATGGGACCCTGACTGTGTTACTGACATTACTCAAACATACAGGGCTGTGGAAATGAAGGGTGCGGCATAAGTATAAGGCAGCACTTACTTTGGGTCAGCCCGAGGTGATACCCTGGAAATGCATATTTTAACACGCTTTGGGTACTTTCGTTCCACTTCTCATTTTGCATTTGCCTCGTAAAACTTAGCGTGTTTAAACTTTGATCTTGAAACAGTATTTTTTACTAAATTCTTTATTGAAGGATAATAGGCACACCAAGAAATGTACACTATGGAATCATCACAGAGTCAGCCAAGTTATCAGCATCTAGATCAAGAAAATGAACATTACCAGAAAGAACCACAGAATCCCTGCGTCTCTTCTAATCATGGGCCCTTTTCAAAGCCATGCGCCTCACCATGCCGACAATCCAATAATATAGTGTGACCACTTCTCTGAAAACTTAAACTCGCTAAAGGTTCCTTTAGTGACTTTAAGGTAAAGAGGAAAGAATCACAAACACAAACCACTGACTGTTTGTTTACCTTTCTGAAGTACTTGTGGCTAGACGTGATTAAGTAACATCAAAGCGCTTGGGCAGTTTGAGTTTGGGTGCCCGTGTACTGCAGTACCAAAGGAAAAGTGTCGAAGCTGTATGTCTTGTATGTGTCTCTGTTATGATGAGGAAAGCAGTTTTGTAGTGCCCCTTTTCTGTGTCCTGTCTTCAGAGGGACCACCTTTCCATTCAGCGGGAAGTCCTATATAACTTCATTGTTCTGTCTAGGTTCTTTACACCTACTCCCCTGGATTCACTTTAGGTATGAGAAATGAACTATTTTCCTTGCTTTACACATTTTTTTCAGAATTAATTATTTTGGCCTTTGGAATTAACTTTTCATGGAATATACAATTTAAAGTTAACTCTTTCCATACAGGAAAGGATGATCAATTAAAGGTGATTTGGATGGAATATTCTAAACCACTGACCTTGTATTATATTGCAAATCTCCCCTCTAGTATCCTTTGTGTTGTAAAAATACTTCTTAGGATTACAGTCAAATTTTTCCTGTTTATAAATTAATTGACTTCAACTTTCGTTACTCAGTGAATGCACGTGTGTGTGCTATGGAAGTTATCAGACTGAGGGCCCTCTAAATAAGAACATTTGTCCATTTTACTATATGTTTTATTGCCTTTCTGCCTAGATTTTTTTAGACTATTAATCCATGAGACTTGATCCCTAGCTGGTACTATCAGTTAGGAGTTGATTTTATAGTTTTTAAATTCCTTTTTATGTTATGTACTGGCTGCTTTTTCAATTGCGGTAAAATAAACATAGCAGAATTTACCATTTTAACTACTTGAAGTGTTCAGCTGGCCATTTGATTTTGATTTTTTGTTTCTTTTTTTAAGACAGGGTCTCACTCTATATTTCAGACTAGCCTTGAACCCACTATGTTGCCCAGGCTGGCCCCGAACTCACAGCAACTCTTGCCTCAGCCTTCCAAGTGTTGGGGATTACAGGCATGTGCCACCACCCCTGGCTTGGCCGCTTGGTTTTTCAAATTTTTCATTTCTGCCAGTTCTAGTCAACATGTACATGCTGGGTAACAGCTGTGTGCCCTGTGCCGAGGTTGATAGATAATTGGAAAATGCTGAGGAAGTATAAATATGGCTCCTGTTCTTAGGATCTCTGTTCTTAATCTCAAGGAGATTACGCCTTATCAAAGAAACATGTATGGGGGTGATTGAAAAATATGGTGTGTGTTTAAATTTTAAGAAATATTACAGTAAAAGACACATTGCCATTAATCTCCCTCAGAATATTCCCTATCACTCTGAGCATACTTATCCAATCATTCTCAATACTCTGATTCAGTTCTGGAAGTCCTCTTTTGTGAGTGTCTGAGTTGTGATCAAACATTGTGAATGTTACTGCCGAGTGCCATTTGAAAGAAAGGCAGATTCATAAAAACATTACAGTGTGTCCTCAACCACCTTAGTTACTGGATCTGGCATGATGCAACTTGTGGCTCATCCCCAAAGTCAAAATGACCATGAAAGGTAAACATTTTTAAATGGATTCAGGACATCAAGACATTCATAGCAGTGTCATTCACTGTATTTTTTTATCATACTTTATACACTTAAAGAATGATCCATGCTAGATAAGGGCCCAGTGTCCAAGAAAAGCTTTATGTAAGGTGAGATTCGGCTTGGTCTTCAATCAGGGTAGAGTCTGTCCTTTGTGACAGAGAAGGAAGTGGGGAACTAAAATAGCAGACCAACTATTTTAGTATTAAGTCCATTGTCTTTCAGAGACTATGGTATGTGTTTTTAACTTTTGAAGTTGTATGTTAGATAAGGAAGCATTGGTGGCACATATTTTATATTTCTAAAAGTCACAAAACCCAAATCGACTCAACTTGTGAGTTAGACAGTGTTAAAATCCAGATATATAATAGAAGAAGGGTTAAACTACCTATTAAAATTCTATGCAAATACATCTGTTCATGCAGCATTAAACTTTTCAATATATTATCACTTGGGAGTAAGTATTTCATTAGTGAGCTTAGAACAATACAGTTATAGTTTTCATGAAGAATGATTGTACAAAAATCAGCATGTGATGAAACATGTATTTTTTGAAGTTAATCTTAAATGTCTGCTACTTTGAGATCAGGTAAAAAGTTTTCAGAGGGTGTGTTATGGATAGAGTGAGTTAGGGTTAATTCTGGATAATCTTGTGCCAAAACTGAGTGGCAGAGGATGGTGCCCATTTTGTTCGTAAGTCTTTGTAGTGGGTCAAGGAGATCATCTGTACTGAACATAGTGCTGTACATATAATAGCATGAATATGAAACATCTTGTCTCTTCTCGTTTGTACAGACAGGCAAATGCACACTGGGGAGCCCCATGCTCACGTGACATCAAGAGGAAACGGAAGCCGGTGGCCACAGCATCTGTGTCCAGCCCCAGTGCAGGTGATTATATCCACTGCGATTTATTGAGCACCTAGTGTGTGTGTCAGGCACTACATTATTAAATACAGTCCAGCCCCACTGCAGGTGATTATATCTGCTGCGATTTATTGAGCACCTAGTGTGTGTGTCAGGCACTACATTATTAAATACCTTTCTGTGTGTTCTTGGTGGTAAGTTAGATCATTTTAGTTCCATTTTATGTAGAAAAACCAAGACAGTGAGTAGCAGTTTGCCCAGCACTCTGATCCTGAAGTCTATGTATTTTTACTCTGTCTCTAGTTTTTTACTAGAATTTAAAACCTTCTATTCCACCATCAGCAATTTGGCAGTTTGGTCAGAAGTCAAGGAATCGCATGGACTCATTTGGTTTTTCACTTGGGTTTGGGGTACACTGGGTTTATGTGCAGGACAGTAGTAGTATATGTATAGGGGAGTGGTTGTGAAATTTCTGATTAAAAACAATTTTTTAGCTTAGGGTGGTGGGATACACCTATAATTCTAGCACTTGGGAGACGGGGCTACATAATGAGTTCAAAGCTAGCTTGAATTATCTAGTGAGACACTGTCTCAGAAATCACAAATAAATATTTTTTTTTTTTTTGGTTTTTTTCTCCGGTACCGGGAACCGAACTCACGACGTTGCGCTTGCCAGGCAGGCGCTTTTGCCGCTGAGCTAAATCCCCAGCCCCTAATATTTTTTTTTTTAAATTAAAACTATCCTTCTGTGAAAAATGAATACCAGTTGGTATTAATTAGCTAAATTAGTGGTTATCTTTGGTAGGAGGGAGTGACCAAGAAAGGATACAAAAAACCTGGGGTAGTGGAAACATGTGTCAGGAACCAGGCAGGGGTTACATGTGTGTTTATATGTATACAGGTTCTTTAGCTGCACACTTCAGACTTACGTACTTTACTGCATGTGTGCTATCAAGAACATTGGACATAGAATATAGATTCTTTCCCCTTAGACAATGCTGGTTGAGTGTACCTAATCTGAAAACCTAAAATGTGAAATGTGGAAAATCTGAAACTTTTAAAAACTTCCATACCTTACTGCACAAGATGGGTTGCATTAAAACATAGGCACAGTAAAAATTTTGTATAAAATGACCATTAACTAATGGTGTTTATGAAACACCATGTTTATGAAACACAAGTGAAATTTGTTTAAACTTGGGTTCCATCCCTAACATATGTGTATGAACATGTTATAAAAAAAAAATCCAAAGTTTGAAACACGTCCAGTCCCAAGTATTTTTTGGAAACTCGGGCTGTTCTATATATTATGTAGGTCAGAACAGTTGATAGCTGAGCAAAAAGTAAAATGTCAGGCAGATATGGAACTCTGCCCCCTTACCTTTACTAAGTTTCCGCATTCTCAGAAATCAACCTCTTTGAGCTTCGCTTCTGCTTGATTATGGTTCGTACTGGATAGTCTTAATCACAGGCCTAAGGATTATCATAATTTTTATGGTGCTTTCCACATGGCTTGGCCCTGAGCTGAATACTTTGCGTTATTTCATTTAATCTTTGCAACAGCTTTATAAGTGCTGTTTCTTTGTTTGTTTGTTTTGTTTTGTTTTTTTCTGGTACCGGGAGCCCAACTCACGACCTTGCGCTTGCCACGCAGGCGCTGTGCCACTGAGCTAAATCCCCAGCCCCTATAAGTGCCATTTCTATTCCTATAGCTGCATGAGGAAACTGAAGCTTAAATCACTTCCTATGATTACATGTTGAAAATTGCAGAGGGTCAAGAGTCAAGCTCAGACCAGTTTCTCTATGACTCCAGAGCTGCCCTCTTAGATCCTGCAGATCTTTTGTCTTTGTAGACAATGGAACTGGTTCCAAACCGGCACTCTGTGTGAAAACTCAGGTCCTCATCCAGTCTGTGGGATTTGAAGCATTAAACCAATCTCTCCTCTTTTTCAGCTATCCCCTCTCTTAATATCTGGTTTCTGCTTTTAACTTGTACTTCTTTGTAACAGAAGAGCTATTTGGAAGAGTTTAGATTATTTATCCCATATTCACATAGGGAAATTGGCAGATTAACCCATTTATGCTGAAGGTTACAACGTTTTGAATTTTTGCATGAAATTCATGAATGTTACATAGAAAAATTGAAGGAATAAGAATTTGAAGAGAAAAATTTCATTGTATTCTGTTGTTATTTGCTATTCCAAAAGTGGAACACTAGGCATAAAAAAAAGACTATTATTAAACATTTCCCCTACTCATTTCCCCTAGCCCAGTTCCTCTGCTCTCACTTGTTGACTAGGCCCTGCTTCACTGAGCATTTTTGTTTTCTGCCCACAACCTGAGTGCCCCGTGGAGGTGAAGGACATAGCCCAAGCCTGCGCCATCACTCAGTAGAACAAATGGGCTTGCTCGGCCTCACGTCGGGCCATCGCAGATTCCACCTCTTTTATAGAAATGAGTGATGAAGAGAGGTGCGTTCCACTTTGCTGCTGTATTAATACACATCAAGGGCCAGCTCCTGGCACTAAATCACGCTACTGCATACATCTGTTATCGGACTCTTCACCAGTGTGATGAACAAGACTGCAGATAGAGGCTTCCTTGTGTCATTCTTTATAGGATTTTCCTAAAAGAATAAATAGCTCAGATCTCTGCCAACACTCTCCCCTGTCACTGTGATGAATTCAGCTTCTTTCTTAAGCATGCAGCCACAAATCTTTTCCCTTTCCCCCCTCCCCCACTGGCAGAAAGTTTTTAGTTGAAATTGACTGAATTTAAAGATATTAATAAGGCTAGAGAGGTGAAGAGCAAGGAGCGGCGTGTCTTCCTTGTCTTTTTGTTCTAATAGTAAAGGGAAAGAATCCTTTCATAGAGTTACTAAGTGACACTTGTTTTTATGACTTTATAGAACATAGGTGTCTTGTGTACAGTGCCACAGCCTGGATCTTAGTGGGTAAGTGTGCAGATCTGCTTCTGAGATGATACCCAGGGTAGGAATTTCCTAGCATGTCTACTTCATGTTGACGTGAACTAGGTGTATATGCTCTTAAAGAATCTACTTAGAAAAGAAAAAAATGATTATTTTTTTCTAAAATTTGAGACTAACTAGCCATAAGAAACCTAAAGAATTCAGATGAAAACCAAATTTCATTTCCTTGAAATGATTTTCTTAGAGTGATAGATCAGAGCCATTGCCATGCAAATTCCAGACCTTAAAAAGTAAACACAGGGCTTTAGTGAAGGAGAATTGGGTTGATCAGAGGTTCTGTTCTGAGCTTAGGCTGTTTTGGCTATTCCAAAAGCCTCTTCTAACCTTCCTCTCCCTGGAAATAGGGTATGTGCCTGCAAACTTTATTCAAAAGGGTGTTTAGCAGTTCACTGGTTAACTAGTTATATCAGATTCCAAACATGCAGCCAGTGATAGGGCTACATTCAGAAGGGCTGGAATTTTTATCTTTTGCTCCCTCTCATTCCCCCAACATCTAAAAGAATACATAGCTCATAAAAAGCCTCAGTAGATTTGTATGAATAAATTAGTAGTATCTTAAAGTTGAAATAGTTGTTTTGATACTATTCTAGCCCCATGGTAAGTATTGAATGTTTGTAAAAGAATGTTTATAGCAGATCTAAGAAGTGTAGAGGAGACAATAGAGCTAATACCCATGTACTCATTACCCACTTTAAGAAAAAGCACATTAACTTTAAAACTTTTCTCTCGCTTCTTCTAAGAAGTAATAGTTATCCTGATGATTTTATCATTTATCATTTTTTTGGTTTTTCAAGTACTTTAACAGACATATCTCTAGGCAGTATATTATCTAGTTTCGTATGTTTCTGAACCTTGTGTAAAAGACTCAAATTGTGTGTCATACTTTATAAGTTACAAGTTTCACTGAGTTCTGTTCTTGAGATCCATTCCTGTTTTTTCTGCCAAAATTCATTCATTTTATCTACCATATATACTGTACTCCATTGTGTGAAGGTGATACATACACTACAATCAAATATTCTTGAGGAGCATTAGGATTGTATCCTGCTTTATGCTGTTGTGAGAAATACTACATTGTTCTCTTAGAGAACAAGTGCAAATATTCTAGGCCATCACATTTGTTAGGATGTCTGTGTCAAAAAACAGGACATCAGGTGTCAGCAAAGATGTGATTGGACCCTTGTGCTTTTCTTATGAGAATGTAAAACTACGTCACTATAGAAAACTATGTGATGCTTCCTTGAAAAATTAAATATCAGACTGTTATGTGCTCTAGCAATTCTGCTTCTAGGTATATACTCCAAAGAATTAAAAGCAAAGATTTAAATACACTTTTTATACCCATGTTCAATAGCAGTAGATTATTCATAGTAGTCAAAAGGTGGGTAGCCCATAATCCCAGCACTATGGGAGGCTGAGGCAGGAGGATCACAAGCTTGAGCCCAGCCTGTGCAACTTAGTGACTTAATAAAACCCTGTCTCAAAATAAAATATAAAAAAGGGCTGGGGATATAGCTCAGGGAGAATGACCAGGGTTCAATTCCCAGAATCATTCTCCCAACTGTCCAAAGTAGAAACAACTGAGGGGTCCCTTGCCAGATGAATAGATAAACAAAATGTGGTATTTACACATAATGGAATATTATTTAGCCTGAAAACCTTCACTATACAGAAACATGCTACAACATGGATAAAGACATAAGTGAGGGCTGGGGATCTAGCGCAGCGGCACAGCACCTGCCTGGCAAGCGCGACATCATGAGTTTGGTTCCCAGTACCGGAAAAAAACAACAACAAAAAAAAGACGTAAGTGAAAAAAGCCAAGCACAAAAAGACAAATAGCATGATTGTACTTTCGTGAGCTATCTGGAATAGTCAAATTAACAAAAACAAAGTAGAAGGGTGGTTATCATGATTTGGAGGAAGACAGTGTGGACAGTTAATGCTTAGTGGGTACAGAGTTTCTTTTTGAGATAATGAAAAATTTCTGGTGATAGGTGGTAGTGATAGTTTAAGAACAGTATGAATGTGCTTAATGCTACTGAACTATACACTTAAAAATAATAAATTTTATGTACAGTGTGTATGTTACTATAATAAAAGTAGCATGTAATGCACATTGTGCGAGCACACTGATTTTTCAAAGGTAGAGTTTATCACTATGGTTTGGTAACAATGTAGTAAGGATACATACAGTTTTGTGAAGCTTGTTTTCAGTTAAATACGAATATGTGTTTATGAGTTTGTGTGTGTGTATGAGAGAGATTTGAGTTGTCCAGAGTATTTCTTGCTGATGTGATTGATACTCCAAAACATTTAAAAGCCATTGCTGTCCAGAAATTCTTGTGTCTGTGTTATAGAGTTAATAACTTTCAAGATTTTTTTAATGTTAGCCCATAGTGATGCATTCATATTTGAATATATTTGTGGATGCAAATGTAAATATGAAGTAAACCCTGGGTAGGCTCAGATATTTTCTGCCTTTTATTGTGGAATAAAGAAGTACTGGTCATGACTCATTAAGTTGATTTTGTGACCTGCCATTTGAAAATTACTGTCCTAGGTTGCATTCCTGGGAGAAGAAATACTGAGTAACAGGGTAAAATCTAAACTTTATTGTATTTGCTATATTTTAATGTATATTTATTCTTCAATGGAGTGATGAGGGTTGATGCTGCTTTGTAGGACTCCGCTTGGGCACGTGGAAAAGTGAAAAAAAATGGTTGTCATAGTGATAGAGAAATGCTATTGCCATTCAATAGACAGGAGCTGGAATACTAAGTTTTCTAAAACATAGACCATAGCACTGCACAAGCCATGATTGTTCTGTCCAGAATGTGTTCAGTAACTTCATTGGGAAATACTGTGCCTGAAAGTATTTTTCTACCATTTCCTTTTTTGTCTGTTATTTACTGGTGATGTTATACCAGGGGCCTGGGGTATGGCAGAAAGAGCACAGGGCTGGAAGTCCAGTATCCAAGTTTGAGTCTTGCTACTTGACTGGCTTGGTTGCATCCCTGGACATGTTGTCTGATCTTGCCACAGTCAGTTCCCTGATGCAGAAAATGGAGGTAATAATACCTACTTCTAAGGATTTACATGAAGAAAATCAGGTTTTGAGTGTTTGATGTGTAGTGGTATGGTGCCTGGTACGTAAGTACTTCTTCCTATATTATGAGTTGTACTACAGAATTTACCCATTTGTTCAGTTAAACCCATTTTCTCAGATGCAGAGATATTTTCTTATTTAAACCTGGCCTTTACTTTTTCATAAAGATAAAAAGAGAAATGTTGGGTTAATTGACATGAAATATAAGGATTAAAAAATGTTTATTTCCAAATGTCTCTCATTCTCATTTCTTCTGCTTTGTCTCCCCTTGATTGCTTTCATCCATACTTTTATTGTTGAGCCAGTTCACATGAATGCAGTAGAACTGACCACACCAGCAACGCAAGACCAGAAATCTCCGAATTCTGAGTGGTTGGTCCGGACCTCTGCAGCAGACAAAGCCGCTGACTCAACTACAGCAACATTTTTTAAAACGCCACAGGAGAAGAGCCCTGGATGCAGCTAGAGTTTGGGTTCCCTCCCCTGGGAGCTGGCTGCAAGTGTTATCCAGTCTTGCAGCTCCTAGTGGACATTCCCATCCTTTCACCTCCAGGACCGACACCTCTGCACTCACAGCTGCCAGCTCTCTTTGAAAGTCATGTTGTGGGAACCTTTTTATTTCTTTTTAATAAGTAAAGTGTTGAGGCAGCAGTTTTCTTATTTTAAAGGTCATCCTGTGCTGTGTGTGTTACCTTATTGCTATCCTACTTTCACCTACAGCTCTTTATAGAGCCGTTCATTTTTGTAGGTATGTCTTTTTTCTTGAAAAACTAGAACTACTTTTGCACCCCTCTTGTGTACAGCCTTTGGTGCCATTTAAGGAAGGCCCAAATTTGCAGCCAATCCAAACAAATTTCTGCGTGGAATCGTGTCTGCAGCAGAAGAGGCCTGCCTAGAGCCAGGTCTTGATTCACTCAGAGTACCATTAAGATAAGTGTCTGAGTTCGCAGTTTGGCGCACAGGCCTAGGGAACTTCTTCGGCTTTTCTGTGGTGGTCTGATGGGGTCACCAGCAGCTGCACTATACCTCATCTTCAGTGTGTTTGTGTTCTGTGGAAAGAGGGCACATCTACACGCACAGATAGGTGTAATGAAGAAGATGGTTTACATCAGTGACTGTCTCGGTGATGCAGACACCCTGCTGCAGCACGTGTGCCGTAGGTTCACCACCACAGAAACTTCAGTAGTCAGCAGATTATGTCTTACTGTTCCGTGTCACCGTGTAAGCCTTTGTGTCCTGAGTGGGACTTTATTGTTGGTGTTATATATAGTCAATAACCTGCAGCAGAACTTGATACTCTATTATAATAATGGCTGCTTGGGGCCATGCTTGGGGGAGGAAAAATGTCTTTTTGACACGCCTTTATACTTGGCGTGTTTATGATGACTCAGCTACACATCTCTACAGTAGTGCCGGAAGTCAGACACTACTTTGTCAAAATGAGGAATCAGTGACTGCCTGGAGCTGCTGGAGAAAAGCCACACTTTCTAAAAAGTATTACCAAGAGTGTCTGTCACTGAGGAGCCTGGTCGACAGAAGGGGTTTTTTTTTGTTTTGTTTTGTTTTTTGTATGACTTGAGTGCTTTTACTCTGAAATACTTGGAGCTGTTCGCTAAATGCTTTCTGTTCTGGTCACATGGAAAGGAACATTCACCCTGCACGTGGATGTGTTGTTGGTTATAGGTGCTGAGAGGGATACACCTTTTCTTCTCAGAGTGTGATGGTCCCTTCCTCCCTCAAAATGCAATTCATGATGGGTTGATCTATCATGTTCCCTTTAAAAAATTACTGTTCTTATCAGAAGCTCTGGAATTGCTTTATCAAGGAATGGGCAGATGCGTGGGTGTGAATCTGGTTGGAATGGGGGATTAACACTTTATGTAAAACCAGGAACATGTCAGTCGACCATAACCAGGAGTTGGTGGAAGGAGAGGGGAATGGAGATTGTGGGTGGGAGGGAGGTAGACAGGTGCCAGCCCAGCATCCTGGAATCACCCTTGGTTCTCACGTAGGAATGGGTATACTGACAGGGTGTCGAGGCCGCACTTCCTTTCCCTATGGGCTGCACCCACAGAAGTACTGAAAATGTCTTGTCTATTGGATAAATGAGCACTACTGACTTGGTGATAAAAGTACATTTTATTGTCATGTGCAGTGTCACCTAGTCCTCACAGTGGTCTTTTGGCACATACTTCTAACATGCTTGGTAGGATTTAAGGAACAGTTTTATGAATACAACTCTTCGTCTTTGTGCTGAGTGAGCTCTGTGGCTCAGGCAGAGATGAGTCCTGTGATCATGACCTGTTAAGGCCTCAGATGCAGAGGGAAATCCAGCATCTTCATGACCTGTTGTATACGAGTCCCCTTTTTTAACCTATACCTTAATATGATTTATATATGCAACCTTATTTACATTTTAAACATTTCTATGAAGTCATGCCATTTTACAGAGTTGAAAACAGTCATAGAATTGAATGACTTGCCCAAAATCACATGACCAAGCCTGGACTAAAATCCTAGACTGAAGATTTTTTTGCCTTGGGTTATACTCTTGTTGCGCTGGTAGACCTGAGCAGTCTGAGACCAACGTTTATGAAGTAGTTTGCCATGAATGCTTATCATTTCTCTTGGGCATGGTTTTCTATATCTTCTGAATACTTTCGACAGGGATCACCCAAGAATGCAACATCTACCTATAATAAATGGGAAGAAAATTAGTTGCCTGAGTGAATATTAAGCTCACAAATACTTTCCAATACAGGGTTGTAAATTGCTCTCATTTTAAGGTGCTGAATGTGCATGGTTAAGGAATTCTTAATCAATTTATTCTGCTTGGTTTTTTTTAATTAAGTAGTTCCAAAGGCTAACTTTAGAATCAAGTGTATTTTAAATCCTAAATCTTAAATTTCTTTTTTATATGGCACAGTATATAATGTAAGACTCTTACATTTCAAGGTAGTTTCAAAATTAGATTTTGTAATCAGTGTTGAAAAAGACATATTTGATGATAGTCAAGCTGGGCATGGTGGCGCATGCCTGTAATCCCAGCACTTGGGAGGCTGAGGCAGGAGGATCATTGCAAGTTTGAGACTAACCTGGATTACAAAGTGAGCTCACGGCCAGCCTGAACTGCATAGCGGGACCCTGTCTCAAAGAGACAAAAGACAAAACAAACAAATTAATGATAGTCATTGAACATATATGTTTGATCTGCTGAAAAGCCTGGCTGAGGGTGTGTTCCAGTTTTTATTTCTAATTCTGATTTATCCCAGTTTACTGCACAAACTCTCTGAATCCTACTAGTTTTCCACAGTGGCAAAAGTCAAGATACCTTTCCTACTTGCATGAGAACCGTTCATTAAATGTTAGTTTTACTTATGAATAGAAGAGAATTTGAAATTATTCATATAGGGTTTTACTTATGAATATAAGAGAACTTGAGATTAGTTTTCAGGTGGAGTATTTTAAAGGAACAACCTCATTTGTAACAAAACTCTTGTTGCTTTTTGGTAAGAATTAATGAAAAGAAATTAGTAGTTGTTTCTGTGGTTCCAGATCTGGAGGGGGCAGAATACAATTTTACTGAGGAATGGTTGGGAAATAGGCCACACTTAGTATTTAATTCTTTAGAAATCACTTGCAGTTAAACATTTCAGCTAACATTGTGTTGCTGGGCTGTGAAATCAGCTTAAAGCTAAATGATGCAAAGTGGAAATGGAGCATCTTATACTGTTAGCTGCAGATGGCCCCTTTTTAAGAAAAGCTAAACACCTAGGACAAGTAATTAAAATAGAAATCCCGAGTAGATTAATCTGACTTATCTTCATTTTGGAATTAGAGACCATACATATTCCTTCCACAGCCTGGGAAGTTCTAATGGTGCCATGTTGTTTTTTGTTTTTATCTTTTTGAGACAGGGTCTCACTATGCAGTTCAGGGTGGTCTTGAACTCACTTTGTAGCTCAGGCTGGCCTCGAACTCACAATGATCCTCCTGCCTCAGCCTCCTGAGTGCTAGGATTACATGTGTGCGCCACCATGCCTGGCTAACAGTGCCATGTTACCGTGAAAGCCACTTGGAGTTGAAAAGTTACAACAGTATTGACACAAAGGAGGTTGGCTGGCCCAGGCTTTGGTAGTGGGATGGGTTCTTTACTTAGTCTCCAGGGGAAGGTTCCTTGTGGTATGTGATTCATTTCAGGTTTTTGCTTAATTTTCACTTCATTACTATGATTCTGCACGACACACTTCCACTCTACCCCCTAGGAGACTGTGCAAAAATCTCAGCATTTGATGCTGTAGTCAGTAACCTGCAAATCTTCTAGACCTTATCTGAGCATGTGCAGACTTGCTGTAGCAGCCGTGGGTGCAATCTAGGTGAAACTTAGCTTTAGAGCCTGTGCCATGTTTGTGGATGGTGGGAGCGATGGTAGAAGCACTTTGTTCTTGTCAGCTGCTTCCTTTGCTAGTGCTTGAGCCGCCACTTGTGCTTGTCAGTTATTTCCCTCTTGCTTGCTCCTATTGAGAGAACAGAGGTACTGCTGCTGGCAACAACCAGAGCTTGTTCTGATCCATCAGAGAACTGCAGCAGAAGGCAGAGGTGAGGAAAATGGTAAGCTCCACCACCAGGCACTAAACACACATGCCCAGAGATGCCGTCTCCTTGGTTCAGGTGAGAACAAGATGAATGTCCAGTGCCTGGAAACAGCAACACAGACAATAAATAAGATTAGCATTGTTTCTGAAGAGTGTGCATTGTAAGCCCAACAAAATTATGTATGACCAAAACAAATTTTTCTGTAAGTAGACAAAATCATTTAGCAAAATTGCCAGATGTGGAGAGTAAAATTTTTTCCAATACTTAAAGTGTTGAAGAAGGGGGCAGACCCTGAAGCTGTTTACCAAGGAATGAATCCATCTTGGGGAGTGGAGAGGTGGGAAGGCAAAGGGGAGGTGCACGGAGCAGGGCTTCTGCAGCTTGATCCCTAGGCCAGCAGCCTTCTCCCCCAACCAGTCCTCCTGAGTCAGAAGCAGGGCTTTAAACGAAGCCCCACAGGAGCCTTGCGGTGCTGAAGTTTGAGAACCATGGGTTTGTCACGGTTAAAAAGAATTGCTTTTAATGTGTTAGTATCTTGGCTAAGCTCCAAGCTGTTGTTTTGTTTTTCTCTGTAAGTAAAGAGATGTTTTGTGTATGATTCTTTGCAGAAATTGTTCATGTCTTTATCTCCCACATTTTCCCCCGTAAGTTCTTGAAAAAAATGGAAATTTTGAGAAAGGCTCATGTGGAAGAAAATGCCATCAAGTCCCTATTTAAATGGATGGAAATAACTTTTTAAAAATCGGCAAAAATGTAGCAAAGAATTTTTAGTGTTTGAGTGATGGTCCTTGTTCATAATTGACAGTAAAAACAGTATTTGTTTAAAACACTGCCACTCTTGAGTTTGCTGTATTTGTTGTATCTTACTTCCAGGGCAAAGTATTTTCCAGCGTCATTGTAATGACTTCTTTAATGTATGGCTCATAAAATGAAAAAAAATAATTGGAAGAAAATTTGAGTAAACAGCAGGTGTGTAATAAATACCTGTTGAGTTTATTATAATATGCTAGGACTTAATCTCAGTACTTCAGAGCATGCAGTTTTCTGCATTCCCACTTCTACTTCATTGGCTTTGTTGTACATTTCAGCTAGTTGAGTCTGCAGGGGTTAGGAACCAATAACAATATGCTGATATTGCTGTCTGACTCAGATTAAGTGTTTCAGAATATCATATCCTAATCTTAAAATTTTGGGAAGAAATCATGACTGTTTTTGTATTTAGACTGGGTCCTGGCATGTTGCCAAAGCCCACACACCCGTGGCCTCTCAGAGACTGTACGGGCTCAGGAGTTCGTGTATTTGCAGTGGATGTGCAGTGTTCTCCAGCAGTGTTTCCTTGGGTGCTTGTGTGAAGCCGTTGAGCCATCATATAAATTCCTATGGTTTTCTTTTTTAAAACAGTTTACAATTTTTCTCTCCCATCTTGAAGACCAGTTAAAACTACTGGTGGCCAAAAAGTCAGTGTTATTACTTATCAAGAAGCCTTTTAGTGTTTCTTTGAAAGTTACTTCTGCCTTTTGTAAATGCCCTGAAATATTTTACATTAATGAAAATACAGTATCAGAGAACTCAAAAATTGCTGTGGTAGCTTTAAGTTAAAATCATGCCATTTCACTGTGGATAGATTCTACATCTTGTTCCTCCCTGTAGACCAAGGGAAAAAACCTTACCACAGAGTAAACCGATGCCAACAGTTTAAGGCTCAGTGTACATCTCAAGTCCCCTCCAACTGTCAGCAGCTTGTACAGACTGGCCATTCGAAATCCTCACTGCCTCTATCCACCTCAGAGGCTAATCTTATCCTCTCCCACCAGATAGTAGCACTCTGCAGAACTTCGCTTCACCCTCACATACCTCCGTACCTCTTTGCCTTCTTTGCAAGCACCTGTCCTGCCCAGGAAGAATCACCGCTGTGCACTTGCGCTGTCCTTCCATCAGTACCTTGCTCAGTCTAGCTGCGTGCACTTTTACACTAAGGTGTTCAGAGAACCTTCTTCACTCTGCCTACCACTGAAGTATCTGCTCTCATGTGCTCTCTTGAGTCTGTTCTACAGTCCACTGAAACAGTGGTTTTAACTCTGGCTGTGCATTAAGATCACCTGGGGTGCTTTAAAAAAAATTGAAATTCCCCAGCTGAATGACAGGTTACATCAGAACAGAGTGGGGTGGGGTGTCCTTCAGTCTTTTGAAAACAGCAGCAGGGACTGAAAGCCACTAGGCCAATACCTGACCACTGTCCTCACCATTGTTAAATTTATTCTTGCTTCGTTCAGTGGTGACTTTAGCTGCCAAAATTTAGTCCTCAGGTTAATCTTTATGGTATTGGTGTTTATAACTACTACTTTTCTCAAGAGAGCAGGTTAGAAGTGGGAGAAGTTCAAAAGAAGTGGTTTGCTGTTTCTCCATTTCAAGGGGTAAGAAGATGGATTGCTAGTCTAGCATAGCTTAGATGTCTGTCTCTGCCTTCACCTGCATTACGTCAATTAACACCTACATGCTATGAATTTCTTTGCAGTTAATGCTGCAACTTAAAGCAGAGAGTCACAGTGAAGCACTTAGGTTTATTACTTACTGTGAACTTTGAGGAAAGCATGCTCATTGTCTCTCCTGCTTCACTTGTCTCCATTGTTCCTGCTCCAAATCCTTGTACTAAAGTAGGAGGAGTTACTAGTCAGATTAGAATCCACGGTGGAGTGCCCTGGAGTGGATGGAGCGGCGATTCATGACAAGTCAGGGTTAGACCGTGTCCCTCTTCTGCTTTCTCCTTTCCAGGGTCTCAGGCTGGCAAGGCATCCTGAGCACACTTCTATGTAGCAAAAGGCTCCCCTTTCAGTGCTGTCTTCTGTCTTCACATTATACTGCTGATGAGTTTGGGTTTGGTGGTGAGACAGACCCAGTTCCTTAGCCCTTTTTGGTTTCAGCCACCATGCTGGGTCCTGCTTTAGCAGAGAAGGGAGAGATTAAGGCCCTACTATTAATAAAGCAGAACTTGATTTCCATTTCACGGCCATCACTGTGCTGCCCGGGATCTGCATATGTGGGAGCTCCACTTAGAAGGGACCCTGTGTAGTCCCAACTTCTGTAAATCACTGGTTGCTAATTCGAAGTCTAGGGTAGATGG